AAAGAAGGGTCAAAATAGATTTTGGGTATACAATCCCGTTGGGTGCTATAGCATGTTCGTTGAAAATCATTTGCAGCGTTGTAATTCAAAATCGATATCCAATATCCCAAGCGCCAGAACGCCCATGTCATAACAAAACAGCCTCACAACCCCGACCTTTCTAGTGCTGGTGGTTGTAGATGCTGTACTGCTGCAGCTGATGCGAATCATCCTCTTCCTCCTTTTCCCTCTGATATTTCGAGCATCTCCAAATCAGGAACCAAATCGGCAGTCCCACAAGGAACACCGCCCCCACCAAAACACCATACCCCATCATAAACAAATAATTCCTCTCCGCAAGTCTCAGTCCCCTGCAGTATCACGTTAGCATCACCTCAAAACACTCGGACGGAAGATCACTTACAACCCCCCATTCACCACAAAAACCACCCACACCAACCTCCCCGTCCACCGATGAATCTTGCCCAGGAAGCTATCCCCCCGATTCACATCCTCGCCCCTCTTCTTTGCGCCGCGCCGCAGCACCCCCATCACCACCCCAAACAAAAACATCCCAAACAGCATCCCCACCCCCAGCAGCCCCAGCACCTGATGCCCCGATTGATAATTCGCCGTCGCGAAGTGCTCCCTGCTGATCTCCACGCCGGGCACCAACGCCCCGACCACCAGCGCGACGTAGATCAGCGCGGAGATGGCGTGCAGCACCGGCCAGCGACGCAGCGCGCCGGCGAGGACCATGTCTGCGGGGGCGATTACGAGAGTTGCGACGGCGAAAACGATGCCGTGCGCGAGGGAGGCTTTGCTTCGCGGGGTGGCGGCGACGGAGCCGGTGAGGGCTGCGCCGAGCGTCTTTGGTTCGGGGAGCGGGATGCCGCCGGGGCCGGTGGCGCGCGGGAGGTCGATGGTGAAGCGGCCGTGGAGGACGTGTCGGCGGAGAGGCGCGGAGGGGTCGTCGGAGCGGAGGTTGGAGGGGGGTCCGGAGGCGAAGATCATGGGTTGGGAAGGGGAGCTCGGGTCGAGGTAGATGGCTGGGGAGGATTCGGACTCGGAGGAGCGGCAGTTGTGACAGGTGGCGTTGAGGATCATTTCGTGGGCGTGGATGCCGGAGGAGGGGTAGTGGATTGTGAAGCGGACGGTGGGGTCGTAGAGGGGCTCGGTGTAGCCGTCGAGGGCGAGGCGCGGGGAGAGCGTGATGCGGGAGTTGTCGGCGGAGGGGTAGGCGATGAGGAGAAGGGAGTTGGTCATGAGGGAGCCGAAGCCGACGGCTGTGTATTGGAAGTAGTCGGGCGTCGCGATGTAGATGTTGACATCGTCTGAGGAGGGCGGGATGTTGATGCTGATGGTGGTGTTGCTGTCGGGGACGTAGAGGGTGGAGGATGCGGCCAGCGCCGGCTGGAGGAGGAGGAGGAGGCCGAGGAGTTTCATTGTGGGTGTTGAAGCTCGGGGAGCCATGGTGCGGTGCGGGGATTTCGATATGACGAGGACGTCGCGGGACACTTGAGAAATGGTGGTTCTGCGACTTAAATTCACTTGAATACTTTAATCTCATTATGCCAAGACTGGCATGCAGTGAGATGGGTGAGATGCATGGCACGGCGCTTAGCGGGCGCGTTGAGGTAATCCGTGGATCACGATTGGCTGTATCCGATCTGGGGAAGCGCTCACTGCCGGGACTGCCCCATCACATCACGGCAGCTGGCCCCCAATCTTGGCTCGACATTTCTAGGGATGGTAACCCGTACCTTGAGGTTCTATTTATGGCAGGCAGCTGCTTTTGATTTTTTTTGCTGGCTTAATCTTCGCGATGCGCACCATCTCTCTTTCAAATTTGCTTCAAACTCTTGAGAGTGAGTTGATTCCGGCAACGACTCAACTCGCACCAACTGCTGCGGTGTTGTTTTGACCTCCCAAAAATTGGATTTGTTTCTAACTTTTCCTTGTTTTCTACCTAAAAATAAAATATCTCTTCGCTCCCTAGGACAGTTTCTACCACCTGCGGATGTAAATAGCCATCTCAGTCCGGGTAACAATGGTGCCCTCCGGAAAGGGGAACTTGTCGTAGTTTTCCAGGAGCAGTTTCTCCGCCGTCGGCGACAGAGGATCTGTGCTACACGGTTGAGGTCGGTATCAGCATGGAAGCACCAAAATCAAGGGTAAGTGTCTTCTTACAAATACTGATCAGGCTTCAAGGTTGCCTCGCCTTTCACGTTCCAGATCAAAACAGCCGGCTTGGTGACGTCGAGCACGATTTGCCGCACAGGGATGTCCGGGGCGCAGGCGACAACAACCGACTTCTCATCGACCTCCAGAAAGCCGCGAGGGTCGTCCAGAATTGTCATTCCCTCTTGCATCTCCAAGACAGCCTTGTCAACGTCATCGTAGAACGGATCCTGGACGAAGCCCCGAACGTCAAAATGATCTGCCAACTCCATGGCCAGGGCATGCTGCGCGGTTGCCCTCTCTTTCGCCGACTCGTCGCGTCGGGTCAAGCTGCCCAGGCCGAATCCGATGACCTTGTCAACAATCGGAACCTTGGCGAATTCCAGCACTGCTCGCACGGCCCCCCAGACACCGCCGTCGCCCTTAAGCGCATCCCTCACAGCGCTGAACTTGGATAGGACATCCTGCCCCGACGGTTTGTCCTCCTGGGGTCTAGGGGGCTCAACAGAGCTCATCTCGATGGGAAAATATCCCGTGGCTTTCGCAATCTCAGCCACCACGGGATCCTTGAGGCTGATGACAAAGTTGCGGTAATGATCGTACGAAAGCATCGGAATGCTGTCGACAGTTTGTGCCCTGTAGGGGTAGCTCACGACCTGCCACTTGCCGTCGAAGAGTACCTCGAGGTTGACCTCTTGAATGTCAAAGCACGCCTCACCGCGTTTGAGGGCATCCCTCTCTTTCATGGCCTTGAAGATTGCCTTCTTGGAGAAGAAGAACTCACGAGAAGTCTTGAAATCTTCATGAACGTCATCGTATGGAGGAGAGTCAATCGTGGACAAAAGAGAACAGGACCGATCCAAGGAAACCCAAGATGTCGGGAAAGGCTGAGACAGCTCCATAGTTTGAGATATTTTTGAAGGAGAGAAAGGCCTGATATCCAGAAGCGGGAGAAGACTCTCTGCTGTCATGAAGAGTGAGCGCCTAGGTAGTAACGGGATGTGAAAAGGGGATTAAGCGGCGCGATATGAGTTGTGTTGAAGCTGAGATGGACTCCGGTGTTGGGTTTGTCAAGAAAACTGCAGGTGGCCCTCAAGGTTCGTCGATTGCCCGGGGGTCGAAGTTTTCAACGCGTTAGGTGAGGCGATTTTTGTTTCCTGATTGCTGTTTGACCGGGAAGACACATTGTTTGTCAGTTGGGTTATCAAGCCTAAGGGAGGCTGGCAACCTCAAGGATACTTGTCTTCTTGTCTCTGCTTTGTTCCTACGAGCCCAATCAGTTTTATGCCGTAAATGGGCAATCAAGCCACAATTGCATTGTCCTAGCCGCGGCCAACAACACACTCCAAATCAAAGTTTGTGGCCGCCCAAGCGCCTGGAAAACCTCGGCATGGCTGTGGTTCCGCCGCTCCACTGATACCGGAAGCATAAATGCGCACCAGAAATTTGCGGAATGAATCCCACAGGGCTCAGATACAGAGATTTCGTTTCACAGCTTCTTCAAATTAGCAGCCACATATCACCCCCCAGCAACGCCGTCCTGATTGGGAAAGAGAGACTTACCTCTGGAACAAGATTTCGTCACCATCTGTGAGGCACCACCTCCACCCAGAAAGCGCCCCCCACGTCGATGACCACAGCATCTAACATCGAGCCTCCAGCACCCTCCAGGCCTAGACCACCGCCAAGATGCATCCATCACGCATTTTCGCCCTCCTCGGCTTCTTAACTGCCGCGCACGGCGCCGATACCATCGTCCGAGCTTGCACGCCGGGAGCACTTTCTGCAGAAAGAACCCAAGATGCTTCGCATGCTTGCCGGTGGTGGCTATGCACGACGCACGGCAGCAAGACCGCTTGGAACCCTGTGCGGGAATGTCGGCCTGGCGATGACTGTGATCGCATGGCGGGACCGACGACTTGTATTGACAGGGAGGGGAACAGGTACTAGATGGAGGGATTGTGGGAGGGTGGTTTTGGGTGTTTCTTGTGTCGAGTTGACGGATCATGAACTTGGAGAGAAAGTTGTAGGGGATAGGCTGAGATAGGACGGAAAGAGTGACCCCTGAATTGGACTCTACCTTCCTCGTGTGACCATGATGACCCGGCAAGACCAACTTTTTCCACTGTGCCGAACTGAACATTCTCGAGCGAGCCTCTCATCAATTTACTCATACTGTCAACGTGTTTGCTGGTAGGTACTGTAAGGAATGCCCAACTCGGGACTGGAAGACAAGTGGTAGACCGGTGTAGGCTGCCGGCGTAACTACCCTGCAACCCCCTGGACGTCAGCTCGCAAGCGCGCAACGTTGCAAACTCGAGTGAACATCGCCTTTTTTATAGCCGTAACCTGAAGTCTGCGGTATCCGGGACAATTCCACTACCACGACGGTGACATCCAACCGCAGCCTCGGGACCCTCCGCAGAATTTTGTGACATGCCTTTAAAGGAAGGTACGATGCATCTCAAGTTTTGTGCGGGTGTCATGCGAGCCCCTGGCGCAAGAAGCCCCGTGATTTGCAGGCGAGTGGGATGACCTCAGGTTCAAAAACAAGAAAATTAAGAGCGACAGATGGGCAGGTAGCGTAGTGGTCAGCGCATCTCTAAGCGTATTCAGCGTTGCTTTCTTTTTCTCCAGCGTTTAGCGAAGACCCAGGTTCAAATCCCGGCCTGCCCATACTCCCTACTCTCACGGGTAGAACATCTTTTTTTTTTTGGCGGTTTTGGTGGGTTGGTGGCGTTTTGGAGGTGTCATTTTGCAGCCACGCTCGAAGTTTACCCTCGGGGGGCACCTCTTATACCAATCCTCCTGACATACCATCGTCCTCTTGACACACCATCGGGCGGGTAGCGTAGTGGCCAGCGTGTTCCTGAGCGTATTCAGCGTTGATTTCCTTCCATCCAGCGTTCAGCGAGAGGCCTGGGTTCGAGTCCCAGCCTGCCCAATCCTCTTTCTTTTACTTGTAGTTAGCACTATGATGTTAATGTTAGCTATCTACAGTGCAGGCTCCCTTTGGTGTGTTCCAGGTTTCTAACTAATGTGCTGGAACGTCGTCGTCTCCCACTCCTGTTGGACCCACTGGCACGTCACATCCCGGGAAACCCCCACTGCCTCCAACTTGAACCTCACGCAGATGCTCAACACGGATGCGGAACTTTTTACACCTTGACTTTGCTTTCTCTGTGAGCCGCACATTAGGCTGAACGCGTTCCCACCCTCAACGTGACCCCCCGGGACCGCTCAATCGCACCTCACATGCAGACGCAATTCCGGACACGGGGACCGGAGAATTTCGAGATCAACAGCGACTCCTGATTGGCGGGGCAAGAACACTTCGATCATCCGCTTGGCAAATCAGATGGCGCCGGATAAAAAACCACAACCCAACACTTCGACATCAATATGAGTGAGGTGCCGCAAGGTGGCATGCTCCTGCGTCTGTTCCTCGCTGATATTATCGTCACAAACAGTTTCCAACGGAGATATGGTGTCGGATCTGATGTGTTGTCAAGCCATCCAGAATGACGTGAGGTCCCCCGAGAGCAGGTGGGTTCATTTCCATGGTGTCGTTTCTTTCCTCGTGGCCCGACGCTGCCCGCATGGTAACAAGCCTTTATTACCCCGATCACCATATAGCTCGCCAAGTCTATAATACCAGACACAATAGCAAGCTCCAGCCCACGGTGATCAGCGGCTCGCCGTTGCAGCTATATCGCCTGTTTTCTCCAGCCAGTCAAGGCCAAGACCCCCTCCCATTCGTTCCTGCCTGCTTCGCTCTCATCGGTCCTTCTCTCATCCCACATCGGCGAGCGCAAGCCCTCTTTTTCTTACCAAGACGCAAAAGCAGGACGATGCCGCCTCTGGGCAGCGCGCCCTTCCAACAATGCGCCTCTCACCCGCGCTAGCGACGTTGGTGTTCCTTGCTCACGGCGCATGGGCAGCGGAGCCCTGCACGCTCGTTGTGACCGCCCGCCCTGGCGACACCTGCGTCTCCCTGTCTGAAGTTTCCGGTATCACCGTCTCACAGTTCCTGCGCGCGAACCCCGGCATTACGACCTGCAGCAACCTTACATCCGGAGCGAGATACTGCGTCGATCCGAACTACGTCGTTTCCTCCACAAGTCGCACTCCCGCAGCTACAAATACAAATCCGCCAGCAGGTGGAGGTGGAGGTGGCGCTTCGCCCCTGGTTGTAACCGTCGATGGGCAATGCGGCAATGGCTTGACGTGCCTTGGCTCTGCCTTTGGCGACTGCTGCTCCAAGCACGGGTGGTGCGGCTCTTCAGCTGACCACTGCGGCAGTGAGTGTCAAGCTGCGTTTGGGCGGTGTGGAAGTGGCGGCGGGAGCCCATCATCAGGGGGGCCAACCACCACCGCCCAGCCAACAACAGGAGGGAATGTCGCGGTCACAGCAACGGTGTACGTTACCAGCACGGTCACAGCTCCCGGCCTAGCTACCACCACCGCGACGCAGATTGTACGGCAGACGGTGTCGGTCACTGTCAAGGAGAACAATGGGATTTTCACGGCGACCTCAACTGTGTTGGTCACGCAGAGTAGTTTGACGTTCATTAGCTCGACAGTCACGACGATCAAGACCGTGACGATCACGGACGCGAGGCAGTGCACGGGGCGGTCGGTGAACGATGGGCCAACAAGTGCGACTCTCGCGGGTGTCATGCCGAGGCATGCCGAGCCCACGGGTACAGCAAAGGTCACAGCGGTGGATATACCTGGGCAAGCGATGGCGTATCCGTCACCCACACAGCCAGGGACGGTGGCAGACTGTAAGCTTGCTCTTGCTACTGGGCGGGGAGGGGCTGGGCTGACATTGTCACAGGCCAGACGTTCTACCGAATTAAACAAGACGACAGCTGTGAGGGCATTGTCAACAGACATGCAGGGGCGTTTGGGATGCAGGAACTGTGAGTTTGACAGGACCCTTGAGATCACAAAGATCGTATGCTGACGATGAGAAACAAGGTATGCGTGGAATCAACAGATTATTGTAAGTCGCAGAAGCCTTCTCTGTTCTGAGGTCACGGTGCTGACTGCTTGCAGGGAGATTGTCAGGGGCTTTGGCTCGGGCATTGGATATGCGTCGGAGTGTAGTATTATCGCTTGGACACCTAATATATGGCCCAACACAACATGCATACAGCGGCGTGGGAGACTCCACCTTTCTTGCTACTTCGACTTTATGGCGTTGCCTGATAGGGACGGATCTCTCACTGTATGTTCAGATCTTGTCAGCTGCGAGGAAGAAAACACCAAGGCAATCCACTACAGAGTGGATGGCCTCCGTATTTCATGCAAATCTCGCCATCGACTCGACCGACAGAAAGCAAACCATGACACTTCACTTGGCTTGTTCATTTTATTCTCATTTAATGTCGGTCGATTTACATACGCCAAACTCCTCGCTCGACGCCGTTTATCAAGGCAAGAGCATCGTGCTGGCACAACCATAACTAACGTCCCCGCTCCTTGAATTTCAAGCAGCTAACTAGCATTAGCTTCCTATCCTCTTCTTTGGGAACTTCCTACTTTGGGTTGGGATACGACCCGTGGCCGTTGGAACTTTCAATGGCTAGCGTCTCGGCGGCCCCATTTCCAACGCAACCGTTTCGTGACGTCAAAGGCGCAAAGAGTCCCCAGGCTGAGGTGCTGCGCTTTTAATACGAGAGAGTTCCGGCTGCAACTCCAGCTGTCGGACCGATATCTTGATATCTGCCGTTCTCGTGTCACTCGTTTTCCTCTTTCGTCAAAATGGCCACGCTCCTTTTTCTTACACTCTTTTCGGTCTTCCCGTCGGCGTCACTAGGGTTCGGCACAACGACAGGAACCTTTCACAACAACCGCGAACATGAGATGATCACCAGAGCTGCGTTGGTCTGTTCAGATGGCGTAGCCAGCGCAGACTGCTTCAGTCCCGATTCCCTGGACGAAATTGCTGGGAAGCTCGGGACCTTTGGCGCTGTCGGCAACCCAGACCACCCGCTCTTCTGGGGCGTGAACCTGGAGAGTTACGAAGCCCATTGCGACCAGGCCGACTACTTTCCAAGCACAAACTACCCCCAAACACGGGCCAAGGCCACGGAGAAGCTCCTAAAATGCGTCAACCACATCCACAAGCGCTTCCGAGAGGGAGTTGCCGCGGCAGCTGGAATCGTTGACGCCAACGGGTACATCATCCCTGGCGAGGCCGACATTCCCTTGACTGGATGCAGCTTCAGCAGCAAAGTAACTTCCAGCAACGCTAAATGTGCTGCCATTTTGGGCTTCGGCCGTGCCCTCCACGGCATCCAGGACTTTTACTCACACAGCAACTGGGTTGACCAAGCCAACACCAGCCAACCCATCTCCGTCACCAACCCGCCCGGCTTGGCGAGCACCACCATCGCCCCCTTTCTCGACTCCCGCTCCTCCATCCCGCCAGTCATCCCGCAAAACCTCTCCACGGGCTGCTGGGAGTTCAACGACAAGACCCCTGGGGTGGGGAGCTGCGCGGGGAGGATCTCGCACAACACCCTGAACAAGGACGGGGGTGATATCAACCCTGTCACTGGCGTCGCTACCAGCCCAACGCCGGAAAAGGGGCCGCGCGGACAAATCGGTAAGAACTTTGCCAGGGCTGTGGGCATGGCCATCGATGACACACGGCGACAGTGGCGCAATTTCCAGGACCAAATCATTGAGAACCATGGAGATATCAAGGGAGCCCGTATCCTCTGCGCTCTGACTCGAGACGACCCGATGAGGGATTGCAACGGACGCAAGATCGCCATCGTCGTAGATAGCTCCAGCTCCAATGCCAAATCCGACCCTAACAACCTACGCATCTCAGCCGCCGTTGAGATCAACAACCATCTCATCAGCGCCGCCGAGGCGAGGTATCCCACCTCCAAGCCGGATCTCGTCACCGTGGTGGACTTTGACTCCGCGGCGCGCGTGGTCTATCGTCTCGGCGATCCAGCCGGTGCTCACTTCTCCGGCATCGACTCCAACGGTGGGAAGAGCATCGCAGCGGGTATTTCCGCCGCCATCTATGAGATCACCGCTGACACTCGCTACACTACCCGTGATCGCTCCGGTATCATTGTCCTGACCGATGGAGAGGGCAACGATAGTGCCGCGCAGCTATTTCAGATGGCGAGAGCCAGTCTCCACGGAATCAGAGTTGGCTTTGGATTCTTGGACGCTGTTTTCTTCAATGGCTTGGAGAGTCGCGGAACGTCGGTTTCGGCTTCCAATGATATCCCTCTTGCGGTCTTGGAGATGGGTGGCGTGTACTCGACTATTGACTCGCCAGAGGCCCAGAAGGCGTTTGTGGAGCTGGTGCTTTCGCAGGGGCTGACGGGGTCGGATGCGGGGAGCGATGCGATGCCGTTGACTAAGGGATTGGGGATTGTCGGGATGGTTCCGGGTGGGAACCGGACGAGCTATTACCGATATGTCGCTAAGGCGGGTGAGGATGCCACCGTCAGCCTTGCGGCTAGGTCTGCCTGCGTTTTCAACGCGGAGTTGGTAGATGTGGCTGGTGGCGCCTTTGAGGACGTCAAGGTGTTGGAGTATACCGCGGGCGCTGATATGACGCTTGGGTTGGCGATTACAGCTACTGTATCCAGTGGTGCTGCAGATGGAGAGGGTGCTGAGGAGCCGAAGTGTGTGTTTTCTGTTCAGCTTGCGGGCGGTGATGCGCTTTCGGCTCAATCGGTATAGGGTGTGGATTCAGTGTCATCAAGGGGCCTCAAGGCCCCCGAGGTTTGACGAAGTGGTATAATCTCGCTTGGGAGACGATGTGTATATCAGAGGAAGTGGAAGAGTGTGCTTATTTTTGTAAATTGTTGTAATTGCCAATAGATATCAGAAATATCTGGCTCAAGCCTCATAGCTTTCAGTGTGGGTGGGCCGAATCTCAACACTCTACCCTCACTCCCGCCT